AAAAAAAAAAAAAAAAAAAAAAGAAAGAAAGAGAGAGAGGAAGAAAGGAAGAAAAAAGGAAGAAAGGAAGAAAGAGAAAGGAAAGACATGTTTACGTTCTTTCCCGTGTCTACTGATTCCTACATACCCCTTTGTTGCTAATCATGTATCCATCCCTGGTTGGTCACACACAGATCCACCTACCTACTACTTACACCCATTCTTTTTTTCTTTTTTTGAATATTTTATTTACATTTTAGATGTTATCCCCTTACCCCATTTTCCCCCCTCCCGCCCAGGACCCCCCTATCCTATCCCCCCTCCTCCTGCTTCTATGAGGATGTACCCCACCTACCCCCCCACTCCTACCTCCTCACCCTCTAATTCCCCCCCACACTGTGACCAAGGATCTCCTCTCCCACCTATACCTGACAGGATCATCCTCCCTTGCATATGCAGCTGGAGCCATGGGTCCCTCCCTAAGTGCTCCCAGGCTGGTGGTTTAGACCCTGGGGGCTCTGGTCTCTGGTTGGTTGGTATTGTTGCTCTCCTCATGGGGTCGCAAACCTTTCAGCTCCTTCAGTCTTCAGTCTAACTCCTCCATCGGGAACCCCATGATCAGTTCACTGGTTAGCTGTGAGCATCCGCCTCTGAGTATGACAGACTCTGGCAGACCTCTGAGGAGACAGCTATGTCAGGCTCCTGTCAGCATCACTTCCTGTCGTCCACATCTGCGTCTGCCTTTGGACTTACACCCATTCTTATATTTACGTCTACATATCCACATATGCAATTCCTAATATTTGTTGACACACATAGGAAATATATGTAAATATGCCAGTTTTAATATATATAATGTATATACATATATATATATATATGTACAATCCAACATTCTCCCTTTCAAGTTTCACAGATATTATACCACGACCCTGTCTGACCTCTATAGCTCCTGCTTCTCCCTACATATCCTCTGTCTGACCTTTACTACTCCTGAGCATCCTGTACCTCCCCAGGCAGGAGTTTGAGGCTGAGAAGAAGCCAGACCTGCGGCGGGACGTTTACCTCCAGGACATCCACTGCGTCTCCTCCTTGTGCAAGGCCTACTTCAGAGAGCTACCAGATCCCCTCCTCACTTACCGCCTCTATGACAAATTTGCTGTGAGTTGAAAGGCAGAAGGGTGGAAGATAGGGTTCAAGGGCAACCACTTCAATTTTGATATCCCAAGTGTGCCCCATGGCAGCCACAGTCCTAGTGGAATGGCTATCTTGGAAATGCCTTTATAGGTTGAAGCTGATGATGCAAAAGCCCATTGGAATTCTGGGTATGTATTAGTAGTGTGGTGCTCCAACACTAGTGATAGTGAGCGATGGTAAAGCATGTCTGGGAAGCAGGTCCCTGTTCCCCAAATCTCCTAGTTCCTCTCATTTTCATTTTCTCCCTATTGGTGTATTTCCCGGAACTCCTGCACACCATACACAGCACAGTGGTAAGACTTGGGAGATAAAGGGCAGGTTGTCAGAGCCAAGAGGCCTTGGAAAGCACCTGGACCAGAGTTTCCCCACATTTTCAGGAATGTCCCTCCATCAACTGTAAAGCTGTTAAACAGATTTGGAGGAGAAGATGTACAGCAAAAATGGTATCCTGATTTCAGTAATATTTTTAAAATAAAGTTCTGGCTACTTGGGGAGTTGAGGCAGAAGGATTGCATAGAGTTTGAGCCCAGGCTGGGCAACATAGCAGACTCTTATCTACTTGCCAAAAGGGCTTGCATTTTATCGAGCACAACAATTCGAAGTCTCTGAATAGCAACTCCATCCTGCTCAGTCAGTTCAGCCTAGCCTAGACGGGTCACCTCCCTAGATACCTTTAAACAGCTCTGTAGTCTAGTTCCAGAACTGTACCAAAGCAGATGCTGAGGCAGGCAATGATAGTGAGGAGTTCAAAGTCATAAGAGAGACTATTAAGTGTATACATAAGACCCTGCAGTCATCTGTGGTCCTGGAGGTCCTAAGCTTTCTTTCTGTGGTTCTGGGGATCAAACCAATGGTCTTGGGCATGCAAGACAAGCACTCTACCATGCCCTTGTTTTCTGGCTTCTGCATCTACCTCTAGAGTGCTGGGGTCATAGGCATATGTTACCATACTCACCCAAAGGTGTTTTTACTTTACTACTTTATGGTGCCTTGAAGATCTAGGTGGGACCATTGTGGAATATAGCACAGAGTTTAATTTGGAGCTCTGAGAAGCACAGGTGTCAAATCTGAGTCAATGTCTCCTACTTATATCTTTGTTCCCGGGGCTGGAGAGATGACTCTGGTTAAGAGCACTAAGTGCTCTTCCAGACATCCTGAGTTCAATTCCCAGCAACTACATGGTGGCTCACAACTGTCTGCAATGGGGTCTGATGCCTTCTTCTGGTGTGTCTGAAGAGAGCAATGGTGAATATATAAAAACAAAACAAACGGGCTGGAGAGATGGCTCAGTGGTTAAGAGCACTGACTGCTCTTCCAGAGGTCCTGAGTTCAAATCCCAGCAACCACATGATGGCTCACAACCATCTGTAATGAGATTCGATGCCCTCTTCTGGTGTGTCTGAAGACAGCTACAGTGTACTCATAAGTAAAATAAATAAACCTTTAAAGAAAACAAAACAAACAAACATAACCCCTTTGTTCTCAATTAGGAGGCAGTGGCTGTGCAGCTAGAGCCAGAACGTTTGGTCAAGATCTTAGAAGTGCTTCAAGAACTCCCTATCCAAAACTACAGGTGTGTGAGGCTCCACCCCCAGTACTCCAGAGCGTCTCCTCATCCCCTCACTCTATCTACAGCCCAAGCCTTGCTTGTCTCTCCCAACTTTCAAGTCTCAGCCCAAACCCTGCTCAGAGTATATTTTAGATGATCCTTTTCTTGCTTCCTGCAGGACACTGGAGTTCCTTATGCGCCATTTGGTCCACATGGCCTCATTTAGTGCCCAAACCAACATGCATGCTCGCAACTTGGCGATTGTGTGGGCCCCCAACCTGCTGAGGTGGGTGCATGTATGAAGCTTCTGAGAGGCTTACCTTGTTGTAGCAAGATGTACCCAGATGGATGTGGTTGTGTGGGTGCACTGGAGAAGAGTTTGAAGTGTCTCATAAACCCATCAAGACAGGAAAGTTCAGTAGTAGCTAGTATAAAGTCCACTAACTTGGGCCTTCTTTGAGACCAAGTAAAGTTAAGAGCAAGGTCTCTGTTTCCTTACACTGTGTTGTGGAGTTCAGGGATTAGAATGTTGGTCTTTGCCAACCATTTGTTGAGCAAACATCCTTGCAATCTATTCAAGAACTGGCCTGTAGAATTAGTATGGCACAAAGCATTATTAATTAGCAATTCTCATAGCCTGCCTTCTGTGCTACAGTGCAAAAAGTGTGAAAGGAAAGTAGATGTTATTTGCGGGTGTCTAATAACTTTCCTGGGGGGAGTGACAATTGAGCTTGAATCATACACGTGGCTTTAGAGGTAGAACTGGAGGTAAGGACAAGGAAGGGAGAGCATAGGGTATTTCAAAGTCATTTTGTAACATGACTTTAACACTAGCACTCAGGAGACAGAGGCAGGTGGATCTTTGTGAGTTCAAGGCCAGCTTGGTGTACACAGAGAGTCCCAGGCCACAGTAATATAATGAGATTCTGCCATATATATATATATATATATATATATATATATATATATATATATATA